TTTCTGTATCACCGTTTTCTTTACCTTGCATTAATGTATTTCTTTTTGGAGCCAACAAATATTGTTCATTTATTGAGTTATGTAGATTTTCTGGAAATAATGATATACAATTAAAAGGGATTTGTATGTAATGTTGTGCTAAAAAGTTCAAATGGCAATATTTCAAAATCTGGCTTTCGACATGCATCCGTTATTGAAAACGAACTTATTTTGAAAAAGTAAAAAAAGATTTCCTAGAAATGATGTCAACTTTATTGGAATGATGTAAGAACTAATTGACATTTTTCAATTATTTCGACTCTCAATTTTAGTGTAACTGAATTCATAACTTGGCATTGTCCTGATTGAAAAAAACCCCATAATTAATAAACCCGTCATTATAAACATTTGTTGTGTCTTATTCATTACGATTGATTCAAACGATTTATAAGCCCTAATTTTTAGTAAATGATAATACCAACAATAACAGCATACCTGATGAACGATGTGAGCTAATTTGTTGTAGCAACAAGTTGGATGTACTCCATTGTAAAAGGCTTTGACAAAATAGCTGATTCGCTATCTCAGCTGAAATTGCTTTCATTTGGCAATAATTAGAAAAATTTGATCAAATAATTAAATTTAAATTTTCATGAAATACTAAAAATTACACTGATATCAAAGTTTTCCGATGAAATTTGTCTTCCTTTGGAAAAACATATTGCTGCATAATTTAATAACGTTTATAAATAATTTGGCTTTTCATTCCCATCTATACCTTTTAAATGTAAATATTAAAAAAAATTGAAGTTTCATTATTTTTACGATGCGAAAAAAAAGAGAGCAAAAAGCTTTTAACGTCGCCTTGGCATCTAAAAGAAAAACAAAACTTTCAAAAAATATCTGATCGAACATTTTGGTAGCTATATAGTAGAATAATTCGACTTTATCTCGAACTTTTATCAGTCATTCTAATGCATTCATCTTCCTTACTATTTCTGAATGTATTTAAAAGATGACACTTTGGTAATCCATCGAAGATAATTATTCCAAAATTTTCCATATAGTTAGGTGTAATAAGAAGTAATTTAGTTGTATGATGCATTAAAATTTGAACATTTCTTCTTTTCTTTTTTTTTTTTTTTTATACAATCGATTTACGATTTAAAAAATTCATGCTCAATTTTGGAAGATATATTAAAATGAAATTTCACAAAATATGAAAGTAAAGCGTGAGAACTTACGAAGAGGCACAAATGGCGTCATCACAGGAAGGACTGATGGAGTACAGAGGTTTGAAAATGGATGCATGTAAGATAGACGAGATTGTGAACCACCGGATGATTCCAGATGTCCTGTGTTTTCCGGAGAGCTATTTGTTGCGCTTTGCTCTATCTTAATTTGACTAGAGCAACCAGCACCGTAGTATTCACCATCGCTTGCTGCGCTTTCATTTTCTGGTTCTATTCTCATAGAATCCTAAGAAATAATTTTTGAAAATTTTCGTTTTTTTAATTTAACCAATATACAACAATTTCTCATTATTTTCTTATCAAATAAACTGATAGATTGGGTCAGTTCCTGCATGATAACGACAAATATCAATAAAAAATATGCTGGAATGAAGATTATAATAACATTAATCGATTAATTAATGAAAAGACTACTAAATTGATTCTTTTACAAGTGTACTAAAATTTTGTCTATATAAAATAATATTAGAATTACTCATTATAATAAGTTTTAATTATTGATAATGATTTGGAGAAAATGAGAGAATATCTCGAAAAAGTTTAAAAACTTCACATTACCTTTCATTATTCTGCCCTAATTTGCTGCTTTTTTTTTTCCTCTTCCATATTTCATTTTTAACACAATGATTTTCAGTTCCTTCTTTTCCATTTATTCTATTATCTGTTTCTATTTCAATTATCATATTAACATAATACATCTTACATAATATTCAAATATAAGGTTGAAAATTGGACGAAAAATTTTCCATTCACCAACCTTTTCAGAGCAATCATCCGTTGATATGCGTAAACCATGACAAAATGGACATTTTTCAGTGGGTGACCAATCTTCTACAGTTGTATTACAATGTGTTTCTGGTTCTGCAAATAATGAAACATCGAAATTTGTAAATCGTTTTCAGATAGTTATTTCAACCATTTCATCCATTCATTCATCATCTTTTACTGATCATTTTAACAATCACTTTATTGCTATCCTTTTCACATCATCTTTTATCTCTCATCGATATTAATACAATCATATCGAGAAGCTACTTATACGCTCATATCATCAAGCTAACTAATGAATAATCGAAGTGATGTTTTTAATAATCCATTTGAATTTCGAAATTTTAAGAAAAAATTGTAAAAAATTTGATATTGTGGGCTAAAATACTTACAGGAAAAAAAAAAAAAAGTGAACGAGAAAAGGATATCATCGCCCAATTGTATCTATACATATGTATGCATATTTTTACAAAATAAAGCAGGCGCCAAAGCATAATATTTTATGCCATTTTGACAAAAAAAAAAAATCTCGAAAAGTGATACCAAAATTGTAAAGAGATAGAAAAAAAAAAAAGAACGAAAAATATTTCTCCAATATTGTATTTTTTTTTTCTTTTTTTTTAAGAAACTGATAGAAAAACAAACAAACAACTATTTTACATTAGTAGTTCCATCTACTGGGAAATTATCCATATAAGTAACCAATTTTATCGTAACTAGAAGTTTCCCGATGATTCAAAGAAAAAAAAAAAGAAGAAAAAAAATTCCAAGAATTAATCTCAAATTCAAGTTATCAAAAAACATTACATGAAATAGTTTTGAAATCGATAAAATACAAAGATCCTTTTTTGATAATAACATTCGTTTTCTTTCTTTTTTCTAATAAAGCAAAAAAAAAAAAAGTTTGATATTACTTATAAATATAGGCAATAAATCAAAAGTTTAACTTTATGGTAATGGAAGAAAAGAAAAGAAACAAAAGCAGAGATATTATGAAAGCTTTTGAGAATATTGCAAGATCAAAGAAAGAATATTCTAATATCTAAGATTCAAGTATGATTTCTGGAATCTTCGACAATATTCCAAAATCTGAGATTTACGATCCAATTTTTAGAATCTTCAAGAATATCCCAAGATCAAATAATGAGAATCTGATTCCCAGAATTTTCAACAATGTTTTACGATCAATGTTTTGATCTGGCTAGAATTTTTAGCAATATCCTAAGATCTGAGATTCAGGATCTGATTTTCAGAATCTTCAAAATGCTCATTTTTTGGAGGAAAAAAAAAAGCAACAAAAACCTGCTTAACTTTTTTATACATTTGTAACAATTTACAAATATTATTTAAATTATAACAAATGAAAACCTGCAGTGAGAGCAGTTGAGATTGCATTGACAGCGGATCGGCATTGTGAATTTCTTGACATATAACGTTTGCTTACTTGCCCAAAACCTGTAAATGTCCTCATAAATTGAAGTATTAAGAAAAAAAGAAAACAGTATGAGCGATGTTCGTCCTAAATTTATTTACTAATTTCAAGTATCAGTATTTTAAAAGTTTACTTAAAACTTGAGTTTTTTT